TGAACTGATTGTTCCATCGATTTCTATAAATTAATTGATTTTAACTCCTCACATCTCAACAAGAAGTTGTAGCGTAATCGATAAGGTCGCGGACAACTAAGCAGGAGATCAGGGTTCGATTCTGGGCGTGGGAGCAATTTTTTTTTTCTTGTATTAATTTTTTTCCTATTTTTTTTTTATTCGGAATTAGATACATTTAATGCTATTATGCCAGGAAAAAGTGAAATAAAATTTTTAGGTAAAAAAATAAGCCGATTATTCAATAAAAAGATTCAACTGAATGATCACGGAAAGGTCACTGAAATGTATGTGCCATTCAGTCGACTGAATGGTAACTGAATGATCACGGAAAGGTCACGGGAAAGGGTCTTTTCAGTGACCTTTCAGTGACCATTCAGTGACCATTCAGCCACCATTCAGTCGACTGAATGGTGGATTTTCATCCTGTGCATTCAAAGATTTTCTCTCTGTTTCTTTGTTAAAAGTCAAAAAAAGTCAGATTGTATTCCACGTATTAAAATAAATTGACAATAGGACTTTTGAAATTGTATATGAACATAGAAAAAAATCTTTCTTAAGCTTTTTTTCACTTTAAGTGCATATATATCCTAAACAATTCTTGCATTTTGTTCAATTTGAAGTCTATTTTCTTCAGTTTTATTTTGTGTTTTTCAATAACTAAATTTCATCAAAGTAGAACTCTGTCACTGAAATCTCGGAGAATTGAGTATGCTTAAGCTTTGTGTGCAATCAGATTGTTAAAGGTGTTATAGTTTATACATTTTATGAGAAAAGTAAAGGAAGAAGTGTATTTCCATATATAAGGTTCAATATATTTTAATAGTACAGCAAAACTCGAATTCACGGATATAGCAAAGTTTTTCTTGGTCTCCGACAAAGTTCTTAACACATCTTTGTAGAATTTTACGGTTATAACGAACTCTTAAAAAAAGAATTTATGGATATAACGAACTGATTTTGAGTCCCGTTGAGGGTAAATATAATGAATTTTAAATCTTTTGTATCGAACATTCAAAGATCTCAAATATTGTTAAATGTAACTGACTTTATTTTCTTTTTAAAATTAATGAAGCGAAAATAGATTTCTAATATATCCAACGATTTGGAAACTCTCGCAAAAAACGTTAAATTTCAAAAAACGCCAGTGCACTTACGGGATATCCCAAGACATCAAAGTACAGCTCAACAAACTTTTTAAGCTCACATGGTTTTTCGCACAAATTAAGGTCACATTGTTGTAATAAAAATTACCATTTTGGAACTGAAGTACAATGGTATAACCCTTCGTTATATTACATATATAATGTCAAGCATAAATGTCTTTTAAAATTATCATCTTAAGTTTCCAAATTGGATGTTTTCAAGGAAAATTTATAAATAAATGAAAGGATGTTTCGGCTATACGATTCTAACATAGGTTTTTACAAATTATATAAAAAGAGCTTTCCTTGATCCCATGAAGTTGAATTTTTTTAAATTTTCTTCTTAAAGGTGAGTATGTTTGAAAAATCTTTCCTCATTTACCATAATCCTTTTGGTTTCGTCGAAATGTAGCGCCCAAAAGCGATAATATTGCAAAAGGAAACCACATTAAAGGGTAGGATAATGAAGTATTTTTATTTTTTTTAATAATAAATTCCTTCTATGAGAAGAAAAATTCTTCTGCATTTACGGTTTGAAACGTTAAAATTTTGCAGTGGGATGAATCTTTCATGATTCTATATTTTAGAAGTTGACTCCTAAAAATCCCATCTTATTAACATAGAAAGCAGTCAAACACATGAAAAATACTATTACCACCCCGAGTTAAAGAGTCAAAATGTACAAAAAATACAAGTTACAGTAGCTGTACTGTACCCATGTCAACGTTTCTGCGAAGAGCTATTGCTTTCAAAGGAACGGATTAAAAGACAGTTACAATTGGCAAGAAACTACAAAAATTCAAATGAAAATAGCTGATATTTTTCAGCCATGCATATATTAAAGTTCTACCAGTTAATTTGTGTGAATTATGTTTCAGAAATTGAAATAAAACTCAAATTATATAAAGAAATACTTTAAAAATGTATTCTGTTGTCTCGATACACAATATTATATCTGAACAATGTGACCTTAATTTGTGCAAAAAAACCATGTGAGCTTAAAAAGTTTGTTGAGCTGTATATCACGTTGCAAATTTGAAAAATACCAATCTACAGGAGTTAAATTTAGCACCAAATAGGATAAAAAGTGTAACTACATGTAGGTGGTTTAGTTACACTTCCGAAATAGCTTCGTGTCTTTAATTTGGCTGATAATGTGCTAAGCTTTGGACTTTACATCCTTGAATTTGCTGTTTTACAGAGTTTGGCGATACTGATTGTGAGTTTTCAGACTTCATTTCACCAAGTAGGCATGAAGGGAGAATATTTCGAAAAATACAATGACACAAGAATTCAAGGAGGTAACGTTTGCTTTTCTAAACAGGGAAGCAAAAACAATGAAACTTACAACAATTCATCTTTTGGAGGGTCAATATCTAGATATATATATTGGTGATATTACAAGAGTAAAAAACTACACAGTATATTTGCCATTAAATCTACGAAAACTTTATTGGCATAGTATCTTTATAAAATGCCCATTCCGAACTACAGATTAGATCAGATAACAAACTTTAACTTACACATATATGTCCAGAGGGATATAATTTATGAGGTAATTGAACCATTAACGGGAATAGAAAATGTTCGATGTATTGATTTTTCACGTTACTTTTGTGGAAACATTTCTTAATCATTTTACAGCATTTTTTAGGCATTGAATTTTTTATCTTTAAAACAATGCTCTTGGACAAGTTTCGAAAAGGATAATAATGAAGAAATACTTTTATATCAAACTCTACTGACATACCTAGACTTGTCTTTCAACAGAATTCATAGTCTTTCAAGTGTTATTTTTCAAAAGAACAGCATGATGGAATATTTGATTCTTAGTTATAATTCTTAAAATGAATTTACATATTAACCACATGACAGATTTATCTCTGTTAGATCCAACGTACAATCAGATATCCTCTCTGGAATCATTTCTAAGAGAGCCTTAAAAATCATAGCAAAGTTTAAAGAAGTTAATGTAAATTTGCTGGGTAACCCTCTGAAATGCTTCTGCGAAAATTTTGATTTCGTAAAATGGATGTATTACTCCAAAGCATTGAAATTTGAAATGTTGAAGAATTACAATTTTGAACTGGAAAATGTTAAAGAATCTCCATTGAATGCAATTGACAATTTATTTCAGAAAAAAGAAGAAAAAAATGTTCTTCGTATACACTCATTATAGTGGTGATTACCTCATTGATATTCGTATCGTTAAAAGCAACGAGTCGAATTGTATTTAGATACAGATGGAAGCTGAGGTACCTGTATATGTCGCAAAAGAGAAATATCAACGTGATGTCGTTGATGACGTCATAATCATGAAAAGTTTATACCGCTACAAAGCCTTCGGATCTTACGCAAACCAAGACGGAAGATTTGCAATTAATCTTGTACAAAAACTGGAAAACAAATATAATTCAAAATTGTGTATTCATTACAGATATTTCATTCCGGGTACTGGGATAATGGACAAAATTACGAATCTCACCCACTGTAGAAGATGATCTATCTGTGTTATGACGTCACACTATTTAGATTGTTATTGGTGTATGTTTGAATTAAACATGGCAAGAATGGAAGCGATTTATTCTCGAAACGGTAGAAATGTTTTGTTTCTAATTATCTTGGAGAAAAACGCCATGAAAAATGTTCCTCTATTTCTGATGGACCTAATTGAGAGCCAGTCGTACCTTGAATACCAAGATGAAGAGAAAGAGACGGAATATTCAGCGTTTGAATCTAAACTTGGAGAGACTTTAAAATCAAACTATTGTGCTCATCAACAGACAGGTAGGTGTATTGGTATTTTACTTATATTGGTTCAATCCAAAGCATGTCAGATTTCAAGATGACCTCGTGAAAGAAGTAGAAAATTAAGCAATGTCTATCAATCTTTGAAATGATTTGAAAAAATCAGGATAAATTGAAGAGTTTAAGGCTATACAATTGATTTCATGATTTTAAATGAAATAAAAATCTCCCGTCTTTGCACTTTGTTAAAAGTGTGTTTTACTGCATTTAGAAAGAGAGACCCGGAATTTCCTAAGATTTTATCCAGTAGAGTTTCCAAGATGTAATTCAAGAGCTATGGAATGATAAAATGTGTTGTCCACAACGGCGTTAATTAAACATTTTAAGCATTAATAAAGTAAATTGTAAAGGATATACGGACACTTTATCAATCTACGTTTATTTTATCAATATACCGTACTGTAAGTATGCCTTTTTTAAAGAATATTTTTTTGAGAAAAAGATCTTTTTTTATTTATTTTATTGGTTTATAAATCGATGAATAAATTTTTAAACTAATAAACTGAGTGAGCATAAAATTAAATTGATACCTTGTACTTCAAAATTATTACTGACTGAAATGAACAGAATATTCAATTACAGAACGGGCTTTTTGAATGACGTACTCAAAATTAGTTTTGGTATAAGATGGTAATTCCAAATGTTTTATAACAGATAGTTTATTTTTGATATGTATGGTATCAGATTGGTAAATCTGTAAACCAACTTTTATTCGAGTGGGAGAAATTTTCTCAAACATCGAGGCAGCCTCGACATTGCGAATATTTCTCGCTGCGACCCGGTACTTAAAGTCTGTCTATTTACAACAGATTGAAAAAGGCCTTATCGCGAAAATTAAACGCCACTTACTAGTTAACTAGTTTTCCCCGGTAAATTGCGCAATAAAATCGTCGCGAATATGTTTGTTAACAGATCATGTATGTCTCTCTTGTTGAATTGATCCAAAAGAAATCGTAATCGAATGACAAGATCAGTTAAGCGTGACCAAACATTGAAGTAGATTGTCAAGTGTTTTCAAATCTAGTATGACCAAAACCGCCTTGGCATTTAAATTTCAATGGAGCGTTTTCTCTAAATAAAGAAAACCTGTTATAAGTAGTTTGGCGTCACTGTGAATGGAAGTGGTTCTCCTCCTAATTTTACTTAAAATGTTGCTTCATTAGATCAAATCGTCCTTGAAAGACAGTGTATCTGTGTGAAAACAATCGTCTCACGAGTGAAGGAGGCATATTTTAATTTCTTGGTGAAGTTTAAAGTAAAAGGAGGTGAGACTATTTGGTATGTTTACTTTGTCAATATCGATTTTATGTAACAGCTACGTTCACCAGAAATTATTTACATGCATTTACTCCAGGCAAAACTGATTTCCATACTGATTTCAATGAAGGTATTGTTTTGTCTTTAGAAACATATTATGACAAAACGCCGTTTAATGATATTTCTATCATTTAGCTTTAGCGTTGCAATTCAACGCTTAATGTAAGAAATTATTGCATTAATAGATGACATTCTCAACCGCTTGTACTAAATCATCATTAAATGAAAGAAATATATTATTAAGCGTTTAAGAATATCAAATATAATGCCGTTTTTATAACATTATGCATTGCCATTGAACGCTTTCAGTTATTCTACAAAACTTGCACAATTTAATTTGTTTATGTCGCTTAAAAACTTACCGTTATTATATCTTGGGAGTATTAATTTAAAGATCCGTTTCAACACTAAGCCTTAACATACACATGGTCTTGTTAATATTTACCGATGTGTATTTATATGTATAATTCACCTGCATTCAAAGGTAATACGAAATGATTAAGCAATAAATTTAACATAACCTTAAAATCAATAAAATATTGAGATTGCTCATAGAACTTTACGTTAAAAGATTCGCAGATATAACTTTTTAATTAGAGAATTATTTTGTTCATTTCACTTATGAGGATGATGCATCTAAGGATGCACAATACCAGTTTAACTTTTGATGCTATATTTTCCAGACGAGTGACCAATTAAAATATTTAGAACAGGTTTATTCAGAGTAACTTTAAGTCCTATGTTGACCAAACGTATGTTATAAGGCTTACTTCAAATGCTGGATCTGATCTACATTATTCAGATGAGGGACCATAATTAAGTTTGTGTAGTTGATTCTTTTATACATGTAAGTAGCTATTTGCCATGTCTTGATCAAACTTGCATGGATGATACATGGAAGGATGTACGCAACTTCGGATGCTGGATTTGACATACATTTTTCAGATGAGTAAACAGGTTCATTTGTTTCTAGAAATTACATAGCAGAATCCTGCATGGAATATGCATCAAGGGATTTCTAGATGGAGCTTAAAACCTCTATAGTTGAATTTTATTTTTGAATAGTTTAACACATTTTGTAAAATAAGTACAAAGCTTCTTTTTTACCGGAAGTTTACTTTTGAGTAATGGCCTTGTTCTGAGAGATTTATCGACGTTTTTTTTTTTTTAATTCAGTGTACTTGTGGCAGGTTAACCAATAAAGATGGCGACTGCAAGTGGAGGATCCCCTTGTGTAGGTATGTCACGTTATAAATATACTTCTAAACAAATATTTTTTTATTTATTTTTGATGCACGATAACTGTATGTACCAGTAATACTGTTAACATGGAAATTTTGCTGACGTTCTTATTTTAATGCATTTTTATTATATTGACATTTTTCTTAACTTATAGAAATTTCCACTTATTAAACTTTACATCATATATAAAGTGTAAAACGAGAATATGTTGTGCATTACTATTTTTTGGCGCACGTGCACTGTTGGATTTCTAAATATTCTTGTCTGTGAACAATGCATAAGTACATGTTAACTGCAACGCGCGATTACATAATGTCGTCGTGTCGCTTTATTTATGTATACACACTCGCACTGTAAGATCGATCGAAAAGATGTCTGCCAAATAATGGAATTGTTGTTAAACGTTACTTATCAAAATCGGGCTTCTTACTGTATCAATCATCTATCGCCGAGAGGTGATGAATTCGATCAAACATAATGATTGACCTAGCAGGCAATATCTGCAATATTATGTTTACCAATTATCCAACATGTCAAAGTTATATTACTTCCCTTCGATCTATGCATTGTTCCAATATAGTATTTGAAAGTGCATAAATATTAATGGCAACATCTCAGGCTTCGGGGTTACCAACCTATAAAACATTTCGGAGATTGGTCTCACGTAAGCTGAGATTCTAGAAAAATCTTAGATATATTTCTGTTGTCATATGCGGCCTTTCTTCGAAAAATGCAAGGATCTGTTAAATCAGTGCTTGAATTTACCTTTTATTCAGTTGTTTATCCATTTTAAGGTGTATCTATCGCCGAAAAAACAGATCACCTACAGTGTACATGTACTTCCTTCGTCTTTTATTTGCTGTTTTGCGTGATTCAACAGAGAGGATTTCAATACGACGTTCGCGACAATGAATGTTTATTTAACCCTCGTAAATATATTTCTACAGAGGTAAAACATAAAAACATATCAAAACTTTGTAGTCTTGGATCGTCTGTCATCATAAACACACAAAAACATACCCGAGGCATCACTTCAGCCATCGTGACGTTACATGATGCAGGTAGGCAGATCAAGGCAATATTTTTCTGACCGATTGATAATAAATATTTTTCTTGTTTTTTTTTTTTTGTTTTTGTTTTGTTTTTGTTTTTTGTTTTTTTTTTTTTGGTTATAGATATTAATTCTCCATGGCAAAAACAGTGTTTGAGTTATAAGGACGTTATGTATTTAGAATAAATGTAAGTGATTTTTTTTTCTAGTAGATCGAAAATAAATAAATGAATTTTTATAAATATTAATTAATTAAAACCTCGATATATAATACTATAGCTGTATTTCTCACATATTGTAATAATTATTGGGAGTGTTCCATAATTGTGGATAAATGCTATAAAATGAACAGCGAACATATCCAGGGGCAGGTATAAACGCATGCTTGGTTTTAAGGATTATTTTTTCGCGAAATTATACAGGAATGTTCAGTTCTTAACCCCCTCCCCTTGAAGGAAGAAAACCGGCTAAAAATTCAAACTAAGCGCATGCATACAGAAGAGACAATAACACATCGCATTATTTTTCTATGATCTCCGATGACGAAATATCGATCTCGTAAAGTCTTTAAATTTATTATTTTTTTTTTAGATAAAAAAAAAATAAACAACGAATATGTATATTGCACGACTTGACCAAAAGTCATAGTTACATTGGAAACCCAATACATATCGGATTCAAATAATCGATAGCCCTAATGAACATACGAAACTGATTAATCTTTCAAAAGTTTCACTGCGTATAAAGATGTAACACTTTTAAACTACGCGTGCGATCATATGTTTTTTTTTATTTTAAAAGATATTCATTCGTGCATCTTGTTGTGATTAATACACGTACATGTATATCAGAGTGGTCATAAATGAAGCTTATTCTTATAAATGAAAAAAAAAACGATCAAGAATTTAATTACAACGAATTGTTCATCTTTTTAAGGTCTTCCGTCTTCAGCGAAAGACCTTACTGTTATTCTTAGGTTTCTTTTCCACTATTTAGGTCTTTCCACCTTTCTGTGGAAAGACCTATTGATTTTCTTCTGTTTATTATTATTAGGTCTTTCCAGCTTTCTCTGGAAAGACCTATTGATATTCTTCTGTTTCTTTTTTTCCTTTTTCTTTATTATTTTTCCGCCGTGTGATTTTTTGTTTCAAGATTTATCGAAAAGACTTTGAGTCGATAAGAATGTACCTCGTAAAAGATTTTCGCAGTTGACCCTGTGTATATGAACTTTGACAACTATCGGAGTTACGACCCCTTTCGCAATAAAAGCTTGTTATCGCTACTCCTCCGAAACCGTAAACCGCAGAGATTCCAAACCTTTATTAATGTCTACGACTGATTTAGTAGATTCTTCATTCACACATTGCGAAAGGATTCGTAAACTCCTATAAGGAATTATTGCCCCTGAATGTTTGCGATGTTTACGAATATCAAGAACTTTTCTTAAACGACAAGTTGTAGAGACATGGGACCAACTGAAAAAGATTCATTGACCTTTGACCTTAAAATCTAGGTCAAGGTCAAAGGTCAAGGTCATTCAAGATATGTAAAATTAAGCATTTTTATAGCTCTTTTGTTCATCACCAAATTGTAAACATCTTTGCATCTTTAGTATGTACTCTTAAAACCATTTCAGAGATTCCATGCTTGTCCCCTAAGATTGACCCCTCTAAAAGTTTGTGCCCCTTTCAGTGTAAACCCTTGTTATCGCTACTCCTCCGAAACCGTAAACCGTAGAGGTGCAAAACCTTCAACAATGTCTGCGACTAATTTAGTACACTTTTCATTCCATAAGTGCGCAAGAATTCGTAAACCATTTTAAGTTGATATTGACCCTGACACTTTCTCATGTTTACGAAGAACTGAAAACTTTCTTTAAGACAAGTCGTAAAGACATGTGGACAATGCATGGGATCTCTAGACCTTTGGCCTTGAGGATAAGGTCAAGGTCAAAGGTCAAGGTCATTGGGAAAATATCAAAATTGCTTATATACGGGTTTTTTTCAGGGGGGGGTGTTAAAATGACCTTGAACTTTGACCTTGACCCTAACTCAGATTTATTTCAATTTTATTTAGATTTAATATAAAATCGAATGAATCTGGAAAATAGCGAATTTTTCCTATCAGATAAATTTCCACGCTCTGTGTGACACAGTTTTCTTCCATGAAATGCATGTTTTAAGTTTAATTGATGCTGATAACTATTAATTTAATCTAAACAGAGATGAATATTCAATCTTACCTATGAGTTCACCATATGTGTCAAAACAAACGCGCCTATATTTTCATTTCATTGTAAACACAGTGCCGACATGGAAGTTCGAATGCATCATAAGTTCTGTATGATTAGCTCAATTTATTCAAAGTATAAACAAACTCAAATGAATTGTTTTTACAGGAAATCGGCATTTTCATTATACACCAATCGTGTTTCTCAGAACTATTCATTATTCTCGACTTTGTGCCACAAACAAATACACGTGTTTCTGAAGCGTAGATCTGAGGGTCCCGAGTTCGAATCCTGCTTGGAGGACTTTTTTTCTTTTCTTGCATTTTTCCTCTTTTTTTTAACTCAAATGACACGGAAACACTTAAAAAGCTGGAAAGACCTCTTATTGTTCTGTGAACAATAAGTCTCCTAGTTATTCTTCTTCTTCTTATTTTTCTTCCGCTGATTTTTTGTTTCGACATTTATCGAAAAGACTTTTTGTTCATCGTAAAGGTCATTAAAAGTTAGGAACAAATATGACCCAACGCATATGAACTATGACCGCTTTCGAAGTTATTGCCCCTTTCGCAAGAAATGCTTGTTATCGCTACTCCTCCGAAACCATAAACCATAGAAGAATGAAACCTTCACCAATGTCTTCGACTACTTGAGGGGACTCTGGAATCTATTCATTGCGAAAGTATTCGGTGACCCCTTCAATGAGTTATAGCCCCTGAAAGTTTTTGAATTTTAAAAATAATTAAATATTTTCAAAACGAGAAGTCGTAGCAACATGGGACTAACTGCATAAGATTCATTGACCTTTGATCTTAAAATTTATGTAAAGGTCAAAGGTCAAGGTCATTCCAAAATTGAGAAATTAAGCTCTTTTTATATCTTTTTTCGTCTTTTAACATATACAAACTGTCTTAGCATCATTATTATGCACTTTTAAAACTATTTTGAAGATTTAAATCGTATGCCTTAAAATTGACCCTATTAAAAGTTATTGCCCTTTGTGCGAAAAACCTTGTTATTGCTACTACTTCAAAACCGTAAACCGCAGGGACATGAAACCTTCACTAATGTTTTCAACTCCTTGAGGAGACTCTGGAATTTATTATTGCGAAAATATTTGGTGACCTCTTCAATGAGTTATTGCCCCTGAAAATCTTTGAATTGTACAAATAATTAAAAATTTTCAAAATGAGAAGTCGTAAAGACATGGGACTAATTGCATAAGATTCATTGACCTCTGTTAATAAAATTCATGTAAAGGTCAAAGGTCAAAGTCATTCAAAAATTGAGAAATTAAGCTCTTTTTATATCTTTTTTGTCTTTTAATATATACTTAATGTCTTTGCAACATTAATATGTACTTTTAAACCTATTTCAAAGATTTCATTCTTGTCCCTTAAGATTGACCCTATTAAAAGTTATTGCCCCTTTTGCGAAAAACCTTGTAATTGCTATTGCTCTGAAAAAGTAAATCGTAAAGACATGAAACCTTCACTTATGTCTTAAGGGACTTTGGGCACAACTTTTATGTTCAAGTGCGAAAGGATCTGGTGACTCATTGAATGAGTTACTGCCCTTTAATTCTTTTGTGCTTACCATTTAACCTTATTACTTTAAAAATATACGTCATAGAGACGTGGGGTTAATTACAATGTGACCCTTGACCTTTGACCTTGAATATACCTTGAAGGTCAAAGGTCAAGGTCACCTCCAAATTTTAACCTTTTTTATTTTTCTTTTAAGCCATTCCTGGTTTCTTTTTGATGAAATTTAATTTTAAAGAGATAAATATTACATGAAATTGAAATTCAAAGAAGGTGGAAAGACCTCTTATTGTTCTGTGAACAATAAGTATCCTAGTTTTATTATTGTTTTTTTTTTGTCTTACCGATTTTGTGCACGCGATTTCTCGGAAACGACTCGATCGATTTTCATGAAACTTTCAGGACTGATAGAACATCAAATAAAGCTGATATATAATTTTTTGCTTTGATGACGTCACTTCCAGTTTTGAGATTTCCGCGATTTAGTGATTTTCAGAGGATCACTTTGTCCAGCAGTTTTCTCAAAAGTGCATTTAGACAGAGACGTAAGATTTTCAGCGATGATAGAGCATCATGTGCTGATGTGAAACACACCTCTCGTTTTCTCCGGAAGTGCAGCACGTCGGCGCCCGCTATGGCTCGAAAAAAGTCTTATCGCGAATTTAGAAATTTTTGACATTTTTTCTGCAATATCTTTTTACATGTTAATATTTTGCAAAGACATGTAGAACAAAAATTCTAGAGAATGTAACGATCTTTCAAAGAATATCAACGATAAGGGGCTGGCCCCTTCAATTAAGGGCCAAGAGGGGCTGAAAGATTTTCCTTGATATTGCAAAAAGTATTGAGAATTTGTAATATGTATAAGAAGCAAACTTGTTCAAAATGTCAAGCCAAATCCATTGGTGTCGTCAAAATACGTCGGTCGTCGTCACTTCCGTTCAAACCGGAAGTAGTCAGAAAATGCGGATTTTGTCATTCTTGATACGTTTTTGGGTAACATCTGTCACTGGAAGCATAACATTCAATTTTCCGTCCGTCGTCGTCACTTCCAGTCAAACCGGAAGTAGCAAAAAAAGCTCATTTTTGCATTAATGTACATACATGTAGATTTGGAGGATTTAAACATTTTTTGGATGAATTTAGTCTTTTCTTTTTAAAAAAAAGTTAATTCCAGACAAACAGGACGGAAGACCTACTCGTTGTTTTGCAACTAGCTTTGCTCTAGTTCTTTTTTTTCTTCTACTTTCTAGACGCCAACTTTGAAGCCTCATATCGCACTCATTTCTCAATTGATTTCGCTCAAATTTTCAGAGGTACTAGAAGTTACTAAACTCTATCAGAATGCTGTCAAAAATTTCAAAAAGTCACTTCCGGTTTTGAGTTATTTCCCTTTAAACGAAAATTTATAGGCTTTAGTTTCCAGACAAAGGCTCCGAGATGGTTAAAGCTGCAGCAGAAATTCTACTGATTTTTGATAATAGAAGGATTGGTTTTTGTTTTTCGATTTCTGCATTCAAAATGGCGCTTTATAGGGGTCAAAAATTAGAACGCTTAAAAGAGCCAAAAATTACTCATATTTTGCTTTTTATCTTCTAAACTAAAAATATTTTGTTAAAATATAAAGAACATAATTTGTGCAGATTTAGAAGATCTTTCAAATGATATCTCGGAAAAAAGGGCTGGTCCCTAAAATTAAGGGCCAAGAGCGTCCAAAAGTATTTTATTTATATCTCAGAAAGTGTTGAGAATTTGGAATACGTCAAAGAAGCAAAGTTGTTCAAAATGTCAAGCTCAATCTATTGAGGTCGTCAAAGTACGTCCGGCGACGTCACTTCCGGTTAAACCGGAATTAGTAGGAAAACGCATATTTTGCCATTCTTGACAAGTTTTTGGGTAACATCTGTCACTGGGAGCATAAGAATTAAATTTCCGTCCGTCGTCGTCACTTCCGGTCAAACCGGAAGTAGCAATAAATTGCTGATTTTAGCATTAAGTAACATAGATTTAGAGGTTTAAACAATTTTAGGACGCTATTACTCATTTTTGTAAAAAATGAAAGTTACTTCCGGTCAAACAGGACGGAAGACCTTCTCCTTGCTTTACAACGAGCTTTGCTCTAGTTATATTTACATTTGCAAATGTTTTTCTTTATATAACACTACTGAAAGGAATGCGTATCTATAACTGTATAAATAAAGGTACGGGGTCAAGAGGTCATAGATGTGCGTATGGAAAATCGTTTGACGTAATTTCTCAGTGACGTCATAAAGGGTCGACGCGCGTTCAGTGGATTACATACTTGCCGTTGAGTTTGAAAAATAATGCATTTTACACGCTAAACGTCACAATCAGGCAAATATAAAGTATGAATAAGTCACAAATATAAATATAAGTAATAAGGTATCATTTTAAAACATCTATACTTTAATCTGTAAATTTTGAACATTTACCCCTTTCCCCGCATATATCGTTTCCCCGCAATCACTGATATTTTACTAACTTTCACAACTAAAATAAATCTTCATTTTAAAGGCAATTTCCTTTGGTTTATACTTGCAAAAGTCTCATTAATTAGAAAATTAATGATTTTATTCACATGTTACGTCAAATTATTTACGCTTAACATTAGAGAAACTTGTACGGCGCATGAAGTGCTTGCGGGGAAAAGGCAACGTCATATTTCTATGAAGTGAAATATTAAGTGTATGGTGCGTCAAAGTTCAGACAGTTGTAAAGAGTTAAATTGTAAATTTACACTTTGATCTTTAAAATTTACACTTTTATCTGTACATTTTATACTTAAATCCAAAACGTCTACTGAAACCTGCAAGGAAATCAGACAGAAATCAACATAAAGATAATCTCGCCGAGTGGTTCTGCCGTGCTATGACTTCTGACCTCAACTAAGTTCAAACAGAATTGAACATATTTTCTCTTCATTAGGATCATCTAAGAAAAAGTATTTGCTATTGTAAATATTTTAGTTTGCTTATACCATTAAAACGGAATGTCTTTAGTTCGTGTATTTAACATATTTCAAATAAATATTTATTATTTTCCATTGTAGATTCAGATATAGAAGTACCGGAATATGAAAACGTGGAAAAGGAAGAATCCAACAAAAAACAGCCTTTTTCAAGTAAAACATATCAATATATTACGTATAAGTGTATTTAACCCCTGTTTTAAATTTTACATTTTTTCCCCAAAAATTACAATATTTTGATTTTATTCAGCAACTATCTCATTAGTTTTAAATGGGAAAAAACAATGATATGATAATATAAAGTACTACATGTACATTATAAGCGGCGCTTTGTTACAACATAAAATGTAGTAACAACGCAAAATATAACAAACCGTGATAATTACATTTTAGGTTATTACGGTTTGCCTCGAAATCAATGCAATATAAAATAATGCAAAAAAGTAACAACACACATTTCAGGATTTTTACATTTTGCGATCAACACAAAATGCAATGACGTAAAATGTAATTGCATGTTTTTTTATTATTACGTTTGAAGTTAATACCTTTGTTGAGTTGTTACAGATTAGGCAAAAGGCAAAATTGCAAAATGTACACACATATTTTGGTCAGCCAAGTTGAGCATTATTTTCAGTTGAATAGTGGTTGAAGAAATGAAACGAAACAGAAAGAAAGCAAAAGAATAAATGTATGGTACATGTCATTCATATTTTATAATATATATTTATTTCATTAGGTACATGCTGATTGTAGAAATATTTATAGCATAGCTGTTGCAAATTAGAAAAGATGAGACGAAGGTGTTGTGTGTGTGTGTGTGTGGGTGGTGGTGGTGTTTATTTTGTTGACCACTGTTCTTTTGCTGATATAAAGTTAAATTGTTTAATTTTCTTTTATCATTATGTAAAAAAATACGTCAATATTCTGATATCAAACTAAATGCATTCAAATCCTTTATTTTATAGCTTTATTAACTTTTTTCTTCCTTTTATAGAGTGTGATGATGCACCAACAGCTGAAAAGTCCTGGTAAGTTACACATCAAAATGAACAAAACGTATTTTACTTAAAACTGGAATTTACAATTAACAATTCAAATCCGAATAATTTAGGTATTGTGATAAAGAAGTTTCAAAACAAGAGGATGCATTAGAAAATGTATTTGACGAAGTAAAGGAGCTCCTAGACATGGAAGAATTTGCAGAAGATCTGAGACATAAAGTATTTGAAATATATCCAGATTTCAAAACAGTATTGGACAAAAGACTCCTAGATCTGAAGCGAAGGGATTGCGGAATTGTTGTAGCTGGTAAAAATGAAATCAATGCTATCTAATTCTCACAATATCTCATTAAATCTATTGGACAGTGATGTCTTATCTGATTTCTGTTCGATTGATATACATGTATATTAAAACATTTTTGGGATCAAGTTGAAATTTGATGAAGATTCCATCTTTTTGCAACTATGGAGGCAAGTTTGACACTCTTTTGTGAAATATTGAATTCATAATACTTATTTGTGCCCTTAAAAGACTTATCAAAGTACATTTAGAAAATTTTGAATAACTTTAAACATTTTTATATTTAATATTATTACTACTATTTTTTACAGGCGACACCAGTTGTGGAAAATCAACATTAGTGAATTTGATGCTTGGAGACACAGTTTCTCCTTCCGATCTTTTCCAAACTACATCAAAGATAATTAAAATGAGAGGATCAGATAGGCTAGGGATTCAAGTTTTTGATGAATCATTAGATATGGTGGCAAAACACACATCATTAAAGTCAGTAGAACACTTAAGAAAACTAATGATAACATTGAGCTCTGAGTGTTATTCAAGTGACTCAGACAGCGAAGATGTTGACAGAAATTCAGCTTATGAAATAAAAGATGAAAACTGGGATGTTGAAAAAGCATGTCTGGGTAGAGAAATTGAAATATTCTTTCCATCTTCGTTGCTTAAGGTTAGCAAAATTATTTGTAAGTCATCTGACTAGGTAGTATGTTTTTAATCACAAATTTTTTCTTTTTCTTTTTTTTTTTTGAATTGTTCATTACCAAATTTTGTATACAGCAACATTTAATGTTTAATTTCCTCCACCTTCACTCTCGACCAAAATGTCAAAATTTTAAACGAGACTAATTTAAGGAAAACAGTATATTTCTTAAACACAACTGTAAATGTGCGAATATAAAATAGAGTTAAATTGTTTGCAAGTGGGGAAGGGCGAAAAGAGCATGAGGTGAAAATAATCTGATATACAATATTACCAAGTATTCCAATATTACAATTACATGTATCTCTTTTTGGTGTCAACCTTTTTAGTAACACTATCGTATAAAAATTGTGAAGTCAAACTTAATATAAGCGGATTTTTTTTTGCCCTCGCTCTCTTTAACTGAAAGTAAGGTAAATTAAGAAACCTATATATACTGCCCATCTGTGGTATTTTTATTCACCTGTTCGTCATAGTTTTTTAAGTTTATTCTATGAGTAACCACAATATGGACAACTACACATGCTTTTATTTTCTCAATGTCAAAAGAAATTCTCCTACTGTATAGAGAGTCTGTAAGTTGAGTCTGTCCGTCCATCTTTCCTCATTTTCTTTTTGCCATTTTAAATGAGTATAACACTTTAGTTCCTGAAAATATATCGTGGGAAACCTTTCACATTGAATAAAATGTTATATTGCAACTTTTTATGGCCTAAGAAAGAACCCTATTATAAGGTTTAATCTAAAAGGACAAACTTTCAGGTAAGACAATTCATACATTATCTCTGACTGTAACACTTGTTTTCAATTGATATCTCTAAAAGCCTTTGAGCATGTCAACTGAATTTTTTTGCACCCGAATCAATAGATCCGGGGCGTGTATTGTTTTCGTCCTTGCTCTCTGTTTGTCTGTTTATCTGTTCGTCTGTCTGTTTTCAACTTTATCCTTCGCAATAACTTATTAACCGTAAGAGATAGGGACTTCATATTTGATAAGCATACTCCATCACTAATAAAGCTCTTTTAAATGACACCTAGGACAATGACCTTGTGACCTTGTCTGTGTCACTTATATGCTAACTATAGCTTTTTCGAACTTTTTTGGCACCGGGCGCATATTGTTTCACAAACAGATCTTGTTTTTAATTGAAATGCACCTGACCTCAAGAAAACATAAAGATTGCGGTCAAAAGGTCAGGGTCAGAAGTTCAGATATTACATATTTGTTTTTAGATGATGGCTTTCTTCTCTTTATTTTTTTTCAACAAAAAATATATCATAAAATCCAGTCCTTCAAAGAATCTCCTGTTAAACTAAAGAAACAATATCAGAAACTAATGTTACATTTTTATTTTTATATGATAATTAAAAAAAAAAACATATCTTGATAGATATATTGGGGGGTTAATACTTAGCAACATACCGTATACCGTATTTACAGCCAATGGCGCTTAGAAAATTGCGAAAAAGGGGCTTATTATGGTTTTCTAGTTAAAATTTTTTGTCATATTTTTACTTCAAATACTCTTGTAAAATGAATTCAGAGAATGACAGTTAAATTTTCTAATTTACCAGTAAGTTATGACAATCCATCAAATTGTTCTATATGATTCATTTTCCATCAAGAAATTAGAGATTACTCAAAGAGAACAAATGTTGCAGGTAACTGTCACTTTCAGAAATGGAAAAAAATGATAATTTCGTTTTTAAAATCTTTCGCTTTCAGAAATACTTTACGAACGAGTAACCCATTAACCTTTTTTTCACTTTTCTTCAAATTATCGCGCAAATTCGAGGCAATTCCAGATGATTTTAATCACTGTACAAGGCACCCTTATTTCCAGTCAATTGAAAAAGGCCTAGGCGGGTAATATGGATTATGCGGTATACCTTATTTTTGATGAGTAGTCAGAAATAAAACATTTTGATGTTGATTTTATTGCAAAGGAATAAATGCAATGATACTGTTTTCCACGATATTGCCAGTCCCTTTTCGATCTAAAACAGATATAATCCTCTTTACATGTATTTGTATTAAAACAATACATTTTTTTCTTTTCCTATTTGTTTTGTGTTTTATTGATTAACAATGCGGAAGCATTTGACTAACGTAATGTGTATTTCAATGTAAAAATATTTGATTTATTATGAAATGAATACATCAATTTAACATAACAGAGTATATTTCAAAATACGCTTTTGCAGGGAAATATCATGCTTGTTGACACACCTGGATGTGGAAATTCTATACACGGCAACTTTAAATCATTACTCTTTGAGTATTTACCAAATGCGGTTTCCTTTATTTTCGTTCTTGATGTCAACAGAGCAGGTGGACTGGAAAATGATAGGGTAAGTATCAGATAAGAATGTGATTCTTGCTGTCTTCAAACAAATCTTACTAAAGTAAACTTTAGTTTTCTATTAAAAGTAAATATGATTTAATTAATACTGAAAGTTAAATATAGAATATTTCTTTTAGATTCAGGTCCTTAATTACACTGTAATATATCTTAGAAATGCATAAATGAAGTAAACTGTGGAAATTAAATGGGATGTACATGTACTATAATAATAATAAACTTTTTTGTTCAAAATAACGAAAACTGTATATAAGACTTGTAAAAAAATAAAGTATAAATTGATATTCAAAGTTAACTTGCTTTCATTGATATCAACAAAACCTTTATTGCAAACTCTGTGGGTAAACTTTAGTTATAGAACTATGCTCTCGTCCGAGTTTGCATGATTTAATTAGTTTACTTCTATCTCAACAGATGGTTGAACTATTCGCATATTTACAAAACAACGAAGACATGCTCAGTTTTGAAGCAAGAGATGCCATTTTTGTCTTGAACAAAATTGATAGTATTAGACCTCAAACGGAAAAATACATTGAAAAGTGCACGAGAAAAATAAAGGAAAATATAACAACCATATGGCCAGATGTTCAATTGGACCATATTTTTTGCATGTCGACTGGAGAGGTATGCATAAATTGTCTGAAAAGTCAAATGTTTAGAAAAGGTATTCAATTCTTGATATTCTTCTTCAAATCAAAGAATAAACGGGTAGCATTAGGAAACAAATACAAGTATAATGCTTTAAAACTAAGACAAGCTATGGATGATTTGATTAAAACTCTTTACATACTACATAATTGTGACACAGCATACACTTAGTCTTCATGTCAACAAAATCTAACGTTAACGTTACCTTTTCCCACAAGCTCTTATTTAATAGCACGGTACAAGTTTCTCCTCGAATTGAGCGTAAATAATTATGACATAATATTAAAATAAGATTATAACTTTTCTTATTTCCTGATATTTTAGCAAGTATAAAAAAGATGGGAATTGTCGTTAAATCGAGAATCAAATTTCCTTTTGAAAGTAGGTGAGAAATGCCTGATTGAAGGGAAGGGGTAAATGCGTGATTTTTCGTTAGAAATAGGAAATGGTATATGCATAAAAATGCGTGACTACGGGGAAGGGGTTTGTAATGCATAGATGAAAGAAAATTTATTCATGATAATTTAAGACATTTACCAGATGCAATATTTGAATACTCTGAATTTGAATGGGCAAAAAGAACAATGTTTATTCTTACCTGTCTTTGGGGACGCTTTGAATCTCATGAAATCACACATTTCGTATTCTTGATAAGTTGAGAGCAATTACAGTAAACCAACTGTTATTCGCGACGACTTTATTTTGCGAATTACCTGCAGTAAACTATTTTGCGATGAAGCCTTTGTGGAACTGTTTTTAATAGAAAAAGAGACTTTAAGGACTAGTTCACGGCGAGAAATATTCGCAATGACAAGGCTTACGCGAATCTCGCGAAAATTTCTAGCACGAGAATAAAAGTCGGTTTACAGTAATAAAATGAATGAAAATAAAACTTGGAGATCATTTATTTTCTTTTTTGCAAGAAAATGTGTCTCAAGTAACATTTTGGAAAGTGTGCATTAAACCTTTATTTAATATAAAAATTTAATATCGTATTTCTAAAAAAGGTTAACATACATTGATGTCTTTTTAGATAAAAGTTGGAGGTGAAAAATACCCCGAAGAATATAGAAAATTCGAAAAAGTACTGCAGGAAATTATTCAAAGAAACGAAAACAAGAGAATGAAGATACACTTAAGGTATTTCTTTTTCTAAGAGTATGCGTTTTTCATATAGAACGTTAATTCTGTTTGCAATTTAGAGTACTGGTATCTACCTTCTTTCAAAATTAAAGAGTAAAGCAATATAAACACTTATGTGTATAATCAGAATTTTTTTTTATAATTTCGCAAATGGCCAATGACCAGGTACATTACAGTACATGCACCACGCTAAAATCTTACAATTTTTAAATGACAATGAAATAAAATTATGCTACAATTCTTCCGTAACATAAACAATGTGAACAATTATTGGGGAATTTATTAATGAATTAGTTTTTGATTTATAAACTAGTTGATATAAGAGTACATTTATTAAAGAAAAAAAAACGCAAAATTCTATACTCAATTATTGAATTGTAATTTTTTTTTGTTTTGCTTGTCTTTACCAGGCCGATTAATGTGTATAAAATGGTATCTACCCCCGCAATTTCAATTGCCTTTGGACAGAAAATCAATGCATGCTTTTTGAGTACACGTAATACGATCAATATTACACATCAATGAGCGTGCTGGTCTACAATGACCCTAATTTCAATCTATGTAATGCACAAAAAAAAGATGAATTAAATGTGCATAAATTTCTTTCAGGATTTAAAATTTTTGAACGTAGTCTGAGGGATCCATTCTGGTAATTTACAGATGTACACTCAAACAAATAAAACACTTAAAACTGATTTAATACATGTAGAGCTAGAGAAATTAACTATAATAAATGGACATCTCACTAAAAATAATCATGACTGAAAAATAATACGTGGCAAAAGTAACAGCATTTTTTTAATAGTCCCAATACTTAAGGAGATGCCTTAAGGGTATCCGGATAATATGGAAATCGGCCATGCTCTATTATGGTATATTTAAAACTAATTATTGTAAGAAATAATCAATTCCAGTTTAATTTACAGTATAAAAAATACATACGTATCAATCAAAAAATAAAGAAATTGAATTTTTAATATACCAGATAATTGGGAATAAATAGTCATGTTCAGTGTGATTCATACATGTAGCTGTGAAAGCCTTCTTCTTTTAATAAATATTATTTCAAATTGTTTCTATGCTCGTACTGTTCATAAATGATCTTTGCATACATGTACGGATTCCTGGCATACTACTCAGAATCAATTTCAGCTGCCTTTTATTGTACCATTGTTTATTGGAAATTTCATTTCTGAGTTAGTTCCGCCCGTGAAATAAATACACCCACCCACTCTTACTGCTGGAACTGCTTTCTTGGACTGCTGGGACTGCTGTGGGACCGCTGGGACTGCTGGGACTGCCGTGAGACTGCTTTGAGACCACTTTGGGACTGCTGTGGGACTGCTCTGGGGTCAATATATATCCCGCTGACTGTGTCAATAAATAAGACCTGAACCCTGACAGATGAGCGATTGTCTCTTTATACACGCCCCACTTTTACAAAAGAAAACTACATATAGTATTTGTGCATTATTTTTTTCCCATAAAAATCGCTTATAGATGAAATATGAAATTCACTACCGGCTACACTATATCATGTCCTCAAAATGGAAACTTGTCAGTACTAGATCTCAGAAACGATGAAATATTAAGACAAGAAACTAAGAAAGCGAAACCATTTAGGATAAAACCGTAAGTCGTCACTTCTTGTGCGTGTATTAAAGAAAACCAATATTTCAAAGCTTTTCTTTCTTTTAAAAAAGTATTATATTGGCTGTATCTTAATTGCAGATTCGAAATGTTTTGGTCATATCGGAAGCAAAAAAAAAAAAAAAAAAAAAAAAACCTTCCGTTTATAAAGGAAGATGTATGAATGGAGGTTTAAATATTATCAACTTCATAGTAGATAGGCTCTTGAAATGATTTTTATATGTGTAATTGAGACTGTAAAGAAGTAGAGTGAAATCAGACATCTTAGTAAAATTAATCTTCGGTCCAATAAAATGGGATTTTTTTTCCCTTTAATTCACTAATATCAATGAAAGCAGTGAGATGGTTTTATTTAATCTTAATCGAAACTCAAAACCGAAATGCAACTTTTAATTTCATATTTTGATATCAAATACCATACATTAAAAATTAAACGTTATTTCAAAGTGGCTGTGATACCATTAATGCAATAAACAGCAACAAAAACAAAATGAGCATCTGCATTCAATTAGCATTTGGATCAGCTCAGCATTTTGAACTAGATATTTTTTGAATAAGTAGGAAGAATTGTTATACCCTTTTATTAATATGTTTGATGAAGTATTCTGGCATTCTGTTCTTCTTTAACAATAACTTAATTTCAACTCACTGGCTTTCCTTTTTTTCTGTTCTGAAAGCTAAATGGGAAAATGTGTTTTCTTCAATAGTTTTCTGGCACAATTGGTTAAATCTATCCAGCTAATCATTGAACCTCGATATCAGCAAAGTGAAACCAGTGTAGAGGAGAAAAGAGTGTTTGTACAAGGGGAGATGAAGAAACATGAAAGATTGATCAAACTCTGCAAAGAGGTATGTTCTTAATTTCACTACGATTTGCTTATGTTTAAGAAGTGTAAGATTAAATTTTACTTTTCATATAATTTGTTACGCAGAGTTTTCTTTTGCATTATGCATTTTGTTTTTAGAAACAAGACTTGTACCTAAGCAAAATCTACATACACATATCGCATTTAAGCAAAACAACATTTGAGTACATGCAAACAGAAGGATTTATGCACAGAATATTAAACGAAGGTGGACAACAACTCATGACCTGTAACAGATTACAAGTACGAAAAAAAATCGCTGAAATAGTGGAGGTACTATCAAGAGAAATTATAGCCCGAGAAGTTAAAAAAATCAACAATAGTGAACTTAACAATAGCATGCTTAAAGATTTCAAGGAAATTCATGAACTAATGCACGGCTTGCAAGACAGAGTAACTGGTCTGGATGATGCAGACAACATAAACAGAAGAATGCCTTTTGCATTAAAGTGTGCTTTCTACACCATTGGACTAACTCTTGGAGCGTATGCCATCTATGAGAACCCATTACGTCTACCATTTGTGGTCTCGGCTGTTGCTACATTTATAAGTTGCAATAGTTACATCGTGGTTAATGCTGCAAAATCAATTAACATTCCATTTGAGAGGTTCATACAATCAAGTATTGAAGATATGCTTGCAGGTTTTGACATTGATACAGTTCGTGCAATGCTAGAAGAAACCATTGGGGACCAGCTCCGAAAACTGAATAGAAGAATTTTTCAAGAGATTCTTCCAGGAGAAATAAAAAAGATGAAAATTGCCATTGAAGGACTTGAACTTGAGCAGAACGATTTGCTTAAAAGGCACGGAGATCTAAATAAACTGAAGAGAAAACTAACCCAAATAGTAGACCACACAAATGACTGTTACAGTCTAATATATAAAGATTAGATAATGTAATATCCTCTCATACAGACAGTTTATATTTCATTGATATAATTCTGTTAAAAAGATGCACTGCTGTGTAATGTGTCTTTTTGTGATTACTACTCACGTTGATTTTTTTATCAATACTAAATACATCATAAATCAAGAATAACAGCAGTCCCGTTTGAAGTAATTTTATTTGTAAGTTCTATTGTCAATACAATAATTTTGTCAGTAATTACAATTTATCAATGAGTCGTTTTTCATAAAAACTGTTTCTCAATTATATATACTTTGAATTGACCAGGCACATATCATCAGGGCTGCCCCTCTCCCCCACACTTTTTGCCAAGCAAAACATTTTACTTTTAAATTGTTCATTGGAAGGCCGATTTGCTAAACTTAGGGTAAAATAAGGGTGATGTAGCACATAAAGAATAAAATTTGGTACTAAAAGAATTTTAGGATTGAACAATCTCCTTTTCTTTTTTCTTCCTTTTTTGGCTTGTTTCAGGTAGGTTGAAATGTTTTTCTGTGGTTGGCCCCCTTTCTTTTAAAAAACGACGCTACGTCACTGTTTGAATCGGATCTTCCGGAGGGTGTGACCAGTCGGCAGGGGATGTTAACTCCTCCATGGCACCTTTTACCAAATCTGATGTTTTGGAGGTCTGTGTTTGCTCTTTTTCTATTTTGTATTCTATTGACTTCTGATCTTAAATCCAGTTCGTTATCTCCATATGTTTCATCTTAAATATTATCAAAGCGCATCATTTTCAAATAATTGCGTTTTAACAAGGAAAATCTAGCATATAACTGTTACGAAAATCAGAATTTACAGTATTACAAAACATTTTTGTCCGATGACTTATAAAGTTTGGTACACCCTATATAGAAATATTGAGAGATACACTGCTTTCTTTGCGTTTCTCATAGAGTGTTTTCACTATCATACGTTTAACAATCTGATCTGTGCACAAAGATGACGCATAATAAATTTTCCGAATTCAGTGACAAACACAGTTATCTCAGATGTAATTATATAAAATAAGTCTTTGGTAGTTCATAAGCTTTATTTGAAGTTTGGTCGCGGTGACATATGCCAATTTGGAAGTGGCTGTCAGGTCATTTTCCCAACAATCACCATAAATTTGGCGACCCCAAGTGGGATAAATATTATGCACTTGGTAAAGTTCTCGAGTGGACGACGCCACGCAATATGGATACAATGGGACAATTTCCCATGAAAAATGTAATCAATGTCAAATGATTGGGCAAATATCCCATCAACAATGTCTTTTTATCAAATCAGTAAAATGTGATTGAATGGGCCATTACCCCATTAAAATGTATTCTAATGCAATTGTTAAGTTAAACACGTTTTGAATAGTGTTTGAAGCAGTAAACCGAGCATTTACAAAAGAGAGAGCTTTTCATTGTGACGTCATAATAGAGCTTGGAAAACACAATGTCCCGTGACGTATTTGATATAAAAAAAAACTCAGCGAAAAAAGACGTAAATAACAAACAAAATGCAAAGATTACGCATCGCCGGGAAAACTCAGTTTGCGACCGTTAAATCAGCATGAACGGTCGCAAATACATGTACCAAATAAGAAGATAGTTATTACCCAAATGAACGTTAAGGTACTCCGATCCTCAGGCTCTGAAAATCAGGAGAAAGCGAGAAATATAACCTCATTGGCGTCATTGTAATTGATAAAAATAGCAAATGTTTAGCCGTGACTTTTCTTTATTTATCATTGTAAATGATACAAACAAAGCGTATATTCCTTGAATAATGATCACTCAGACTTTTTGCAATAACATACCCATAAGCCAAAACTTCCCTTCTTTAATAATGATAAATTAGAATTTCAACAATCTTATCCATCAACCATTATATCTGCTGATCGAAATTCATTGTCATGAAATTTGAAAGTATCTCCAAGTTTGGATCGAAAGGCTGTTACTTCATCTTTATCTCCGCCCTCTGGAAATTCTATATAAGATTTTGAGTCAATCAAATCCATGAATGAAAATGGTAATTTCTTCATGGCGGCTTTCTCTAATGCCACCAGAAACAAAACGTTTTCTCCATTTCTTGAATAAATGGCTTCCATGCGTGCCATGTTAAGCTCAAACATGCACCAGTACGACTGTAAAAAATGTGAAGTGATGACACAGACTGTTTTTCTGCTGTGATGAATAGCGTTCGTGATATTATCTGCTATTCCTGTTCCTGGGATAAAATCACGATGATGTATACATAACCGCAAGTTGAATTCTTTTTCCAAACGTTTGACGAGTTCAATAACGAAAATTCTGTCTTTGTCCGCATAAGAGACGAATGCATCAAAATAATACTGATCTTCCAATGCATCTGGTCTTGGAACATTATGTTTATATTTTTCCCTCGCCACGTAATACATATATCTAAGTTTCCATCGATATCTATAAAGAATACGACTAATGGTAATCGTTAAGAGGACGATTATCAATGACGTCATAATGACGATGACCAGAGTATACGATGAACACTGTTTCTCCATCAGTTGAAGTAATTCAACATTAGAGAATTGAATTACTGAGGAATTTGAAAAAGTACACAAATAATCATCAATGTTAAGAAAAACAATATTCTTTGATATGGTCACCCATTTCATGAATTCTAGATTTTCACAGGTGCATCTTAATTTGTTGCTCTTTAAATTCACATAGAGACGATTTTCCTGTGCTACTACGTCTAATATGTCTCTAGTTTCCTTATCCATGGTGGATATCTGGTTATTGGATAGGTCTAGGTGAGTCAAACGAGTCATATGACTGATAGGTACTGTAAACTCGCTCAGAGAATTATAACTCAGATTAAGAATTTCTAGTTGTTTCAAATTCCGAAATATTTTGGTAGGAAGTCGTACGATTCTGTTTCGGGTAAGGTTTAACGAGTTCAAGTTACGAAGATTTTGAAATATTTCACCGTTAATGTCGTTTTCCAAATTTTCACCAAGAGCATTATGGGAAAGATCAAGGTAAGACAAGTTTCTGAAATCTTCGAAAAATCTTGGTGAGATATAGCTACAAAAATTGTTGGAAAGGTCCGCATAAACCACACTTTGTATGCCTGTGATGGGGCCATTCATTTGATAGATGATATTGTTCTGCAAGTATACTTTTGACAATGCAGATTTTGTAACAGAAGTAAAGGCGAAGTCTTGAAGAGTCATTTTATACAAATTGTCATGAAAATAAAAAGTTTTTAACTTAGGTGGCATGTAGATAGTTATGTTTTTAGGTCTCATTAAAGATGAATACCGTCTATTGTATGAAACCAAATTCCCATTCTGGTTCTCTGACAAAGTGGTACAAACTGGCCTGGTATCATTGCAGCCTATGAAAAAATCTTTTACTTGTACTTGATGAAACGAGGATTGGAAACTTACATTCATCGTCACCAAGTTGTTCATATCACCGAACTCTGCAATATATAATCCAAAACTGAGTACATTATTGGCCAGATTTATAAGCTTCAGCGACTTGGGTAGCTCAGACAGAACGCCAAGCTCGAGACTGTTGATTCGATTAGATGCCAAGTTTAGCTCCTCTAAATGTGTATGTTTAAGATATGCAGTGTGATATTTTTTAACTATGTAACTAACTCCATATGTGCACTGCAATTTCTCAAAATTCAAAACTCGAATGGATGTAGAATTTCTTAAATCACTCGAAATGTTGGCCACAACCTCCAAAGTCAGTTCCTGATTACCGGAAATATCAAGATGCACTAAATTTGAAGAGTCTTTGAAGGAACCTAGTTCAATCGACAGAAGTGAATTTTCCGAAATGCTTAAATTCCTCAGATATTTATATTTTGTTAATGATTGTTGATCGATGTCTTTAAGCTGATTCCCCGATATATCCAAGTAAACAATGTTAACAGGAAGGCTGGCGGGAAAAGTAGAAAGTTCATTGTTAGCGAGACTTACTCCTATGACGTCACTCTGAAATGATGGCGCAGTTCTGAGGTCTAGATTTTCACATTTGGCCCATAATTGTCCATTTACTCTAAAACATACACATTGTTTATTCGACGAACAGCTCGACGCGCTTATTTCTATTATTGTCATGACAATGAGGTAGACTCTCAATTGAAATGCTGAACTTTCCATTCTACAAAAAGATGGAAAATATCTATGAGGTTTATTTTGGAGTTTGCTCCACCTTTCATATTTTTAGATAACAAGAAAAACATTATCGAGCGTCAATATGCGACACAACCCTAATACATATTAAATATTTCAAGTCAAAGGTACACATTCTTTAAAATCATTATATTACAGTTTCAAAGTCGATGTTTTAAAGTTAACTTCATTAATAAATGATATAATGTTTCATCCTTAGGATTGATGCTAGATTTTAGAAAGTAATCAAAAAAAAAATATATCAGATGCTTCAATAGGAAAACAGTCGAACAGATGAAAAACACCATTATTATCTTGCGCTTTATGGTCATGTTAATGTACAGAAAAAAAAAACAGAAATCACCTGCGCTGTTTCTGCGTCTAACCAAAGGCAAATGACTGTTTAAAAAGGAACGGACACAGAGACAGCTGCATTTGACGAAAAATCATCGAAAACTATTTGGAACTGCCATAATCTTTCAGCCAAGGGCATATCATAATCTTGTAAAATTGTTTTTTAAGCTGGTAAAATTAAATCAAATTCAACCTATAAATAACTTTAAAAATATATTTTGTTACCTCGCTACAAAATTTTGCAATATATATTATAATATGACATTAATTTGTGCGAAAAACGAGTTAAAAAATACGCGAAGCTGTATGTAAAAAAAATCATTTTTCAGTTTAAACATAAAAAGCGTTTACAATACATGTATTTATTGATTTAAATATTACAAACATATATGCTAAATAAAATCATATATAAATTTGTGTATATATTCAAAAGTGTACTATTCAAACTTATTCAGCTTAGATTTTAAAAATCAAAAAGTATCTGAAATGTATACTTACATACAATTTTTTTTTGTTTTCAAACAAGGATGTTAAATCTAAAAAAAAACTTAATGATATAGATAATGCCCATTTATAGTAATTAAGGGTTTCTTTTGAAAAAAAAAACAAGTTCTGGGTTTTCAATTTAAAATACAAAACACTTTTAAAACATGAAAGGTTTGCAACCCTGTACATGAATGTAAATGATAAACCAATCAGACTTTTCCATATTGATTCATTTCTTCAAAACAAATTATGCATGTCTCTGAAGTCGAATGTAACTATTCGTGATAAGGACTCTCTTCTTTTAATAGAACTCCTATGGTTTTCCCAAGATATATTTTTTTCAGAAAATGAACTTCCCGATTACATGTACGTACCTATATAAATTTTCATTAAATTCACAATGAGGTTTTCAACTTCTAATTTCTTCATGAAATGTTAAGCGACTTTTGTTCTTGTTTTGAAGTATATATGACTACATGATTTAAGTTATGCGAACAGAATACATTTTTAAAAATAAATCACTTCATGACATTTCAATCCCTGTTACATATACACGTACAACGCTAGCATACTGAATAATATAATCATTCTGCTCCACAAATGTTAAGTATTGTAACTTGAGACTCTTACCTGTCAATATACACAGACCGTTAAAACTTCCTGGTTTTCTGGCCGTAGGTTATAAGTCTCCTGATGGTCACCTGGTGGAAATACACACATTCTGTAAGATAAACTACTTCCATTTAAATCCCCCAGTATATTTACATTTTCAAGGCTGTGAAAGGATTTAATGTTAAAAGGTCAATGGCAGATTTATAGCTAGATTACTTATAAACTACTTTATGTGTATCCAATTTTTTCTATATCTTTTTATGTTATAAATTATGATTAGTCTAGCGTTGGATACAGTTGGTTTTGAAAAGTAGATAATTAATTCATCTTCCACCTCTAAAATTAAATAGGAAGAATTAAAACATTTTCGTTCCCAGTTTCTATTGTTATGCCTGTTTTGATTTATTCGCATGTGAGTTAAGGCCAGTTCTATGAATCAGTGTAAAGAAATAAAGGATTTCTCATCATGATACCATTGTCATTTTTTTTATTCAATTGACCAGAAACAAAAGAAATTATTTATTTACTATGAAGTACTCGATGTCTACTTTTACTACACATCTTTACTTATGACGTCACGGGTCACCTGACGTCACCTTGCTTAGATGAATGAAACAGACTTTCCAAGCAAAAAATAGACTGGCGCAAGGGCATACTGGATATAAAAAAGCTATATCTTGGCACTGTCATTTTCAGATAGCTTTGCTTTAACACACCTTTGCTGCGCAAATCATTGTTTCCGTTTCTAAATATATATAATTCGGACATAAACACGTATAACAACACAAAAATCATGGACTTTTCTCGAATACTTTCCTACAGTTAGTTAATCTTGCGACTGTCAACATTTGCGCAGCATTTCCCATATACAGCATTAAACAGACTATCAATTAATGTCCACTTTTTAAACTTTTAGTTAGGGTATGCCCTTGCGCCATCCCGTTTTATTTCTGCTATCCGAGATTTTTCACCTCCCACGAACAATACAAACGCACTAATGATCTGGATCAAGGGAAACAGGGGAAGTAATAAATGCGGGAAATTTAAACAAGATTTCGTATATCGACAAAAAAAAAGCAATCAAGATCTACTTTATTTGAATAAACATTATCTTTTTTTGCTTAGAAAATAGGTTTCACTTCATTATCTCTTTATTTACTGGACAAATGAACTCTTCACAGTTCCCACTAAGTAAGCCTTTCATTAGTTTCATCGTAAGATGTTACTCTCCAAGCAAAAATCACTTTCTTTCACAAATTACCACTAGTTTACTAAATCCTTTAAACTGTCAATATTTCTTCATTCTATACTGCAGTATATCAAAGTTGATATTCAGCTGACTTAATAAAGCTGCAGTCAGACCCCATTTCTTACTAAATATACACATAATATAACGCACAAATAATGATAAAACACTGTTACATTATTTTTAATAATTTATTCATCTTGATAAAATTCATCAACAATTATAAATTAATTACAAAAACGAAAAAAAAAATTGAAATACATTAAAATAAAAATAAGAATTTTTTTGGAGACTATAAATTCCAAGACAAGCTTCTATGAATGACCTTCAGGCAGAATCAATAAGAAGAATGGTTATTCTTCAACCTAAATTTTTTTGGCAACCATGAACATTCCTGAGAGTATGCAATACCATCTGTAAGTCATTTTTCAACTTTCCACCATGAACCTCTGTCACTTCGCAAAAGTAATTATTGGAAGATCCTCAAAAGATTCTTCAGCTATTAACTACTGGAACAACTATGTCAACGGCAGCCCCCAATTACAGAATTATGTACCAAAGTATGATACCACGCTTAGTGAAAATCAGGGATATCTATTCTACACTCGGGTCATGCATAAATATCCAAAAATGTACATCATTAAAGTCAGTTTCGCGAGTTCAAACCTATCTCACCAGTTCAAAATTCTTCAAAAACTCAAATAAATCTGGGGAAAAAAGATCTTTCATTGAAACATACAGTTTAGTCTCCTGGCTTGAGCTCTCTGAATCAGAAAGAAAATCTCATGAACTATGCAACTGTCAGAAATGCCAGCAAACAGAATCTGGGTTACATGCATCTGCTACACATGAAACCATAGAATTCGAAAAATTGTCCTCAGATGTTACTGATACTATCATATCAGATAAAATTACCTCCCCTGAAATAACAAACAAGAAAGTTGAAAAATTCATCAACACTTTACATCCCTTATTAAAACAGAAGTTGGATGTAGACTTGAAAGAATGCGTGGAAAAAACATTTCACTTACAACCAAAAGAAAATTCAACAGAAAAACAAAAACAAACTGTTAAAAAACTTAAAGAAAACAACAACAAAATGCAAGACGCTTTGTTTAATCCAGACAACGATGTTGACCAATTTTTGTGTACAGGTGCTTCCTACAGTCAGTACGAAAGAGAAAGAATGAACAAATATTTTGAAACACAAGAATCTGCAAAAAAATCTGCTGAAAAAAATTCCAACAAAATAAAACTGGGTTTGAAAAAAGAAAAAAAAACCATGGGAAATTTGAAAAGTAGTCATTTGACAAAAAATCTTTTCTACTTGAATTAAAAGAAAACAAAGGTGAAAATGTCAATTGGACAGCATTAGGAAAGAAATACAACATCAAAAACAAGGCAGGAATTTTTCCTTCTAATGCTGGCCAAATTCTAAAGCAGTTTGCTTTTGAAAATGGTATACAAACAGAAAAATTCAATCAACAAAAAATTGTAAGTGGTAGGGACATAATACAAAGAGTTAGGAGAAAGTATCTAAGAGTACGTGGACTAGCTGTGCCACATCAAAGACCAGCAAAAAAGATCCGAAAAACCCTACAGCAAAAAATTGATGATGGCGTCTATGATATTGGTGTTTGCATTGCCCCTAAAGTTTTTGATACCAACAAAATAAGCAACACAGGTGAGCTTGTTGTGAACCAGGAAGAGATATATGGGCGGAAGTTTCCTCTCCTAAAGATCAGGGAGCAGTCACTTCATGAACAGGAAACGCTGGGGGTCTTGAGGAGTACATCAGATGAGGAATACAGCTCTCTTCCACCTGCAGATGTAATAAAGAAACTTAATGAATATGGTAGGTTAAACACTAAATGTATTATTTAAATAGTTCAAATTAATATCTTAAACCAATCTAATTAAAATTAGATGTTAGATACGCTCACATACTTACTACACTATTATCTAACAACATTCAGAGGTCAATTACAAAACAAATATAACATGAGATTTGTCTACTAGTATTTTAAATGGTCCAGGATCAGGGGCAAATCCAGGTCAATTGATCTAATAGGGAGAAAATCCAATTTGTGTTTGTATGTGTGAAATTACTCTATTTTTTCAATATTATTAATTTCTTAGGTCTTGGTGCATTAAATATTACACAATACTTTAGTTTCTTGTATTTGAGGTATTTGAATACCTCTGTATTGTTCAAAATTGTCCAAGTATCTTGTTTATCTCATTTGATTAATAAGCATTTATCGTCTGAGTACTCCAGAAAAATTTAATTTTAATTCCCCTTGGAAAGAAATTATTTCCATCAGTGGCTTTGCCTCTGGAAATAGTTTCCTCCCTCGAGAAACAATAAATTTGTTTTTCTCTCTTAACAATTCAAAAACTGTATTTTTCCCTACCTGCATAGTACATACCCTATCTTTTTCTCAGGACTGAATAAGAAACAATTATTTATTTACCTTGGCCTGAATATCAAGGTTCAAAACTCAAATGAAAATCTGAGACATTAAATTGTTCTGATATACAGAAAGACTAGAAGACAGACATTTAGCACCATACAATAATATTAACGAGCAGAGACACATTACACTTTAATGAACTAATTTTGGCATTTATCTAAGTAATGGATATTACAGAGGTTCAGCAAGCTCACTTGTACGTGTACATGTGCATGTAAACTACAAGTTATAATTACACATGAACGTTAACATTTTTTTCTTGTTTAGCAAAGTATAACCTGTACTTGTACTTGTAATTTTTTTAATGTAATAGTGGTTTACATTAAAAATTCATCCAAAAATGCAATGATTTTATTACTAATATCACCGTTTTACATAGATATGTACATGTACTTATGAGAAAAAGATTGTACAGATTTCTTATATTTTTAATCGGTCAAAGCCTGTTTCGTAAATGTAGATGTTGTGAATTTAACTCCCTAAAAATTAATACTTTTCAATTACCGACGTTCGGTTCTTTTATCAGTTATTTGTATAAAATATAAAATTCAGGTGTTAGAAAACCGCACACTTTTTGAAAAATAAACAGCAATTAAAGAATTACAAGCTACAAGTTTTGACTTGCGTGTACTTGGCAATCTACATGTAACCTGTGTAAGAGGATATGTGTAGAAATTCGTCTTTAGCAAAAAGTGATGATGTAATACAAAAATTTCTGGTGCTACACATACACATTGGTTTGCTAAACCTCTCTAATATTCCATAAATGTTTATCTCGTTAAACACTTCTTCAGTTCTCAGTTTGAGTAACATGCAATGCTATCTGCTAGTCATACAGCATCTTTGGTCAGCTATGTACCCAATACAGGAGAATCCAGCAAACCAAAAAACACTCTAATCTTGCAAAAATGATCAAGACTTTCAAATTCCAAACCAACTGATATGAAAATCTTATTAATTAATTACCTGGGTTCAATCCATTTCCTACAATGATGATGAGCAAATGACCCCAACACGAACACAAGAAGTTAAATTTCAAGGTGGCACAATGGCTTTGCTTTCCATAAATTAGGTCCATCTCCCTAAAGTGAAATAAGCATCATGAACATGATTTTTATTCATATAAATTGATGAAATATCATTATGAACAAAATTCTTCTGCTGGTACATTGTACATGTATTCGTGAAAGAAAATTAAAGCTACACATTATATGAAGAAGAAATCCTCACTAACAGGTTGTTACATTAATATAACCAGCTTCTTAGATTTTTTAAAAATCAATATTAATAAGTCATATAAAATTATTAAATTGTCCAACTTTTTAGTCTAGTAGCCTACTTTAATAACACCAGGCCAATTGATCACAAAGCTCATCCAAGTCACCTTGGCAGGTTGTTCCCTCATAACATATTTTGAACCCATATTGCATTCAAAGATTTAACCAATGCTGAAACAGCAAAGCATTAAGATGCTTCAATTTGGATATTGCCTTGTTGTTCTCAAGGATGAAATGTTGAAACTTGAATAATGTTCAAATGACCCACCCTTATCCTATATCTTTAATTAAGAAATGAATTTAATTTTTGAAGATTCATGAGGTTATGAACTACGACGCTTCACGCCGGCATATTTCATGAAGCACGTTAGCGCTGGAGATATTCATGCTTATTCGTGATACATACCTAATGTAGTTCATGAGAAAATATACTGCATTTTATTTTGTAAAGAATCATAGGGGAAATTTATTGGAAATGTAAATACAGTGGACCTTCATTTATCCGGACGCTTCGGTTCTCAGTCAATTTGTCCGGATATGTGAAGAATCCGGATATCTGAATCACTGGTTAAACAAGACAAAATAACATTAAAAAATTTTGTTCCGATGAAAAATCGTCCGGATACTGAAGCATCCGGATATCTGAAGGTCCACTGTATATATGAATATGCATAACTTGAGAATAAGTATGACCCTGTTATCACTGAAATGATTTGTTTCTACAAATCTCCTTGTTAACCTCTTTGGACTGAAAGGGGGGGGGGTGCATCTTTAACAAAAATCAGTGCATAATAGCATCTTGGTGGTGGTGGGTATATAAAATGCATATAATTTGGCAATTTCTCTTATGCCTATCGGAAACAAATCACGTATGCACTTATATTCAGTAATTTATCTATACGTAAGTGTTTCCCCTATTTCCCTAATGTCTGAGAAAACCCGGAGAAGCAATTTTTTTGGTTAAAAAATAGACATAATACTGGTGTCGAGAGGTCAATGAAATTTGTGAAATGTCTTTATAGCTTTCAAAATTTATGTACACCTCAAGAATACATTCCATATTGTAAACAGATTCTTGTTGAAACTTGGTAAGGAAACAATAATGTTCATCAAAATATCATTTATGCACAATAATATCAACATATGACTATATGCATATACATAAGCATATACAAAGCAGAACTTAATGAGGCCACCTTACCCCACAATGCCACAATTTTATTAAACCTGAGTTATTTCTGGATCAGTCATTCTTCATTGTGGATATTTTTGAGATCCCACAAAATGTTTACCAATATTCCTAATTATCTCCATTTGTCAAAGTATCTCTTCCTTTATTTGAGGCGTTGATAGAAAATGGTACTAGTGATTCTCGTAATTGTCAAAAATGTATAAAGTTTACATTCCGACAGATTAGACAACAGACAAATTGTAATCAGGAAAATTTGCACAACCTTTTCAGCTTCTGTTATGTTTGTAAATGGACAAAACTTTTCAATACCCTTCTGATCAGTATATTCCCCTTCTGTACATTCCCCTCTTCAAAATCCTTCCAATTCCTTCAATGACACATCCTAAAAAATTATAAACACAATCAAAATTTAATTTCTATGCATACAACAACAAATTTCTTTGAGCTAATGCTTACTTGTAATACTCCAGCTCTACTGTACTTGTAATATATATGCTATCATGAATCTCACTTAATGGCATGCCTTAACAAGTGTGTGCTAAAATTAATGATGGAACAATTTTCGCCGACGATCGATTGTCGGGGTCATTGGGAGCTCTTTGATGTTACATGTACTAATCAGTTACAAAATAAATGTGGCCGACATCCCTTACAAAAAATAAAAGTGTCATACTTTAATTTTAAGTAGAAGAATGTTGATAAATGAATAACACAGTTCAAATATTCTTGGGTATATATACCACACCTACAAATTGATAATTTAATATTTACATTTGTTGATGTCTTTCCTTAGATAACAATGATAATGAAAATCAATGAAATTCAATTTTCAATGACATGCAGTTGGTCACATGATCCAATTTTCTTGCATATGGAAAGCAAACTGCACGAGTCTTTTTGAAAGTTTTGAAAGTTCAGTAGTATTAAAGTAGATACTAGATACGTTATGTTGCATTTCCATATCAAAGTCTAAATTATGCCTATTTTTTTTTGTCACACAAATAAAAAATGAAAATATAAATATAAGAAATAAAATACATGTATCATTTTTAGAGTGTCATTGGGATATGACATGAAGTTGGTATGCGATCAAATAAACTATAACGCCTTTCGGGCGTTATAGAATTTGATCATTTGACTGTTTAAATGGAATACTGGAATTTAAATTAATTTACACTGTAAATAATTTTTATTCATATATTTTCAGGAATACAACCAGAGTTTCAACAAAAGAAGAGAAAAGAGTTGAAAACAACTATTACTCACAACAAAATTGAATCAGATACTTATAAACACTTGTAATCATTTTAGAAATCTTAATTTCATGTGAACTTTTTTCTTCTAGTAGTATTATTGATCAATTTTTTTTTATAATTTCATATACATATATTTAGATCTCTTTCAAATTTATTTAAACATTATGAACTCATCGTCCATTTTCAATTAACAAGTCTGTCATGCGTTCACAGGGGGGAAAAGAAGAAATAAGAATTCGGCATTAAATGAAGGTCAGTTATCAAAATCCCAACCTTTTTTGATTTTACGATTAAAAAATAGATTTATCTGTTGTGACTACTGGGGGTGGGGGTAACAAAATAATATATGTACCTAATTTTCCATTGTAGAACATTTGAAACTTGGATCAGTGAAATGCAAAAAAAGATATTGTTCCATGAAGACAGAGGTATTACACAATTATTTCTCAATTTATTTCCAAAAAATAAAATGCCTTGGGGTTAATTACTTGTTTGGATAAACATGATAAAATATGATTTTTATTTAAAAAAAAATACCATTTGTATTGTCAAACTTCATTTCCATGATTAAGGAGTCACCCATGTGGCACAGCTAGTACTTGAGAGTTTCAGATTAAGGAGTTGATCCTTTGGTCGCTGGTTTGAAATCCCACTGTGGGGTGTGGAGACCAGTCCTTCGGATAAGACCATATAAATTAAGGTCCCGTCACAGTAGGTACTGGCAACTAGAGCCGAGCTCGTTGCAAAGCAACGAATAGGTCTTCCGTTGGAGCTACGGACTAGAAGACGTAGCCTTGAGTCGAGGTCAAAAGCCACATACTAAAGATATACCTACCTACCTACCTAGTCCTTGTTGCACCCGGAGGCACATAGGGCAAGGACTAGGGATTTCCATTCCTCTCTATTCTTTGCAATCTTCTCCACCTCTCCCCAGGTGAGATTTATCTCCTTTAGTTCTTTCTCCACTGTTCGCCTCCATGTTGTTTTTGGTCGGCCTTTCCTTCTCTTCCCTTCTGGGGTCCATCTGAGTGCCACTCTTGTGATGTCGTCTGTGGGCTTTCTCAAGACATGGCCTATCCACCTCCATCTATATTTTACTAGTAAGGTCCTCATGTCTGTTGTTTTAGTTGTTTCATGCAAATCTTTGTTGGTTATTTTTCTGGCCAAAATATCCTCAAGATCTTTCTGAGGCACCCATTATGAAAACTTGATAGTTTCTTAATGTCACTTTCAGTCATCCTCCAGCATTCAGCACCATACATTAAAACAGATAGGACACAGCTGTTATACAGTTTGATCTTAGTATGTCTGCTAATACTGCTTGACTTCCATATGTTCTTAAGCTTGACAAAGGCTCCTCTGGCTTTACCTAATCTTGATATTATGTCCTTGTCAGCTCCGCCATCTGATGTTACCACACTTCCCAGGTATGTAAAATAATCTGTATTTTTGATATCTCCTCCATTCAATTGTATTTTGGGTGGGCTTTTTGTATTAAGGGACATTACTTCTGTTTTCTTTACGTTGATGTTCAATCCGATTTTGCTGGCATTTGTTTGTAAATTAGATGTTTTCCTTTGCATTTGTGTTTCCAGATGAGATAATAAAGCCAGGTCATCTGCATAATCTAAGTCCTCTAGTTTGTTGAAAAGAGTCCATCTGATGCCGGTATTCTCATCACTAAGGGTTGATCTCATTACCCAGTCTACTGCTATAATGAACAGTAGAGCTGACATCACACATCCTTGTCTCAATCCTGACTTAACAAGAAAGCTTGTGTTTGATGATCTACCAATAGAGCATTTAAATTCTGCATAAAATGCTTTTATTAGGTCAACTAGTTTAGATGGTATACCGTAGTGCCTCAGGATTTTCCACAAACTGTCTCTGAGAATGCTATCAAAAGCTTTTTCGAAGTCAATGAAGTTTATGATGAGTTTTCTTTGCCACTCTGTGCACTGTTCTATTATGTTTCTTAGTACAAATACTTGGTCACAGCAGCTCTTTCCTTTTCTGCAGCCTGCCTGTTCTTTCCTTAGTTTTTTATCCACTGCTGTCTTTATTCTGCTTACAATTATCTTACTGAATATCTTGCTTGGTATAGAGAGTAAGGTAATACCTCTCCAGTTGTTACAGTTTGTGAGGTCTCCTTTCTTTGGTAGTTTGATGATGCTACCTTCAGACCATGTTGTTGGTATCATGTTGTACTTCCATATCTTGCAGAAAAGAGGATGAAGGATATGTGCTGCAAGGATAGGGTCTGTTTTGAATATTTCAGCTGGTAGGTTGTCATTCCCAGGTGCTTTATTGTTCTTTAAACTCTTGATTGCTGTGATTATTTCTAATTTTGATGGTTCATTTATGTTGATATCTAAGTCAATGTTTGCTTCAGGTATTTCTGCTCTGTTGCTTGGATCTGGGCGGTTTAGTATCTCTTCAAAATGCTCCTTCCATCTTTGTTCTTGGTCTTTATCAGATGTAATCATTGCGCCCTGCTTGTCTCTTACTGGCATACATGCATTTCTTCTTTGTCCACTAAGCTTCTTGGTGATCTGATAGACATCACCCATTCTCTGTTCTGATGCTGCTTTTTCAGCTTCTTGTGCCATATTTTCAATGAAGTTCTTACGGTCCCTCTTTGTGGCCTTCTTTATTTCTTTGTTACTGTCAGAGTATTGTTCTCTTAATTTCTCTTTTATTCTTTCTGAGTGTGTGTTGCACAACCTCTTCTTTCGTTCTTTTCTGCTGTCAATGAGTTTCCATGTACCTGGTGTTATCCATTCTTTGTGTATCTGTTTTCTGAGGCCAATAACTTTCTCACTTGCATTGTTAAATGTATCTTTTACTTTCAGCCAGTGTTCGTCTATCTGCTCTTCGTCTAAATCACTAGCTTGCAAGATAGAAAATCTGTTTTTCAGCTCTAATCTAAAATCTTGCTTGGTTTTTGTGTCACTAAGCTTGCCAACATCGAATCTTTTCCAGCTGTACTTTGGTATAGTTTTCATCAGTTTAAGTTTAAAATCTGCAGTTACAAGGTGATGATCACTGCCTACATCTGCACCTCGTCTTACTCTCACATCCTGAAGAGATCGTCTCCATTTACCATTTATAACAATATGGTCTATCTGATTTTTGTCTCTTCCTCCGGGTGATATCCATGTGAGCTTGTGTATGTCCTTGTGTGGGAATAACGTCCCGCCTATAACCATGTTGTTGTTACCACAAAACTCTGCCAGATGTTCACCATTCTCATTCATGGTACCACAGCCATATTTTCCCATGACTCTTTCATATCCGGTGTTGTCTTGGCCTATTTTTGCATTAAAATCTCCCATGATGATGGTTAAATCATGTTTGGGAATCTTTTCAAGTTCGGCTTGTAGTGCTTCGTAGAAGTCTTGCTTAGTTTCATCTTCTGCCTCATTAGTAGGAGAGTAGACTTGTATGATGGATGTTTTAATTGGCTTTGTGTCGAGTCTTGCTCTCATCATTCTCTCACTTACAGGATGGTACTCTATCAGTGACTTCGCTGCTGCTTTACTCAGAATAATTGCTACTCCCTCGTGATGTCTACCATCTTTTCTTCCTGAGTAAATGATTACCTCACCGCTGTTTGTCATGATCTTTCCAAAATCTGTCCATCTGCATTCAATTACTCCTAGTATGTGTAACTTGTTGTTCTTCATCTCTCTTACTACTTGCGCCTGCTTTCCTGCCTCGTACATGGTACGGACATTCCAGAAGCCGATCTTAAGTTTGGTTCTCGTGCTCAGTATACTCTTCATGCGACCAGCTTCCTGTTGGCTTTCACTGGCTGCATTCATACGCGCAGATGGCTGCTGGTATTCTGATGCCTCGAGAAAGGATGTATTTCTCCTAGTCCTCGTATCCGTAATCATTCAGTTTTCACGAGAAGGGGAGATTACCCCCTTGCTCAACCTCCAACTTGGTGGACCAGAGATTTGTAATCGAGGTTGCCTTCCTCTAGAATGGTTGCCTGCCATAGCTCATGAAGCCATTCTCTCCAGGTTTTCTAAGATTTTCTATCTGGATTTTCTTCCATAGCCTTTGACTTTCCCAAGCCGTCCACAAGGCAGTGGAACTATTTAACCCATAGCTGGGAACT